AAAAACTGCTATATAGAATTTTGCAAACTTTTTTTTATTTAAAATTTTAGATTTAAATAATAATTTGTATAATTTTTAGATTATATCTTATTTATTTAGCTCAATATAAAATTTTAAAAGTTTATAATAATATAGTAGGCTACTATACTGAGGTACACAAGTATGTGTTAAACTAACTTATCACAATTTCATATTTTATCTTAAAATTAATACTGTGCATATAGTGGTTAAGGTTGGGTTTGGGTTGTATTGTAATTATTTTGATCTCTATTGTATATTACTGTTATTATAGAACTCATTATTCCTGTGATCACAAGTTAGTTCCATTGAAATTACCAATATTTAATATTTATTTTGTTTTATTGTTAATTTATTATAAAAAATTGTTATGGAACTTACTTGCTATTCTAGTGACCACAGTATGTAGTTTGCATTGGGATTGTTATTATTTTGTATAATTTGTTTGTATTAGAATTATTATATAGTTTAACTCTTCAATAATCATAGCCTATATAGTTACACCTCTATATAAGCACCTAATTTTGTAGAATAAACTCAAAAATATTATTTAAACCTCTTTATAATTACAAATTATTTATAATTACTATTACTATAGAATTGATATTTTTTATTAGTTTTATTATTAATATATCTCTTTATAATCAACAATTTTTTAACTAAGTAAAATCAGTAAATATAATTGGCTAATATTTGCAAAATGAAACTGATAGTTATTTATACAGAGAGCTTGGGGCTTGCTACTACATTTAGAATCTCTAAGCAATTAGACTATTAGAGTTTCAGAAAAAATTCTATAATAGTATATAATTCATACTTATTTATATGATTATAATTTTATTTCCTGCTACATGAATATTAGAAACACTTTATTATTTTTCTTTAATAAAGCTTCGCCTCAAGCCAAATCTGAATTGACACTTATTAAATGCCTTTAATTAATACATATTAAGATATAGCTTGGATCATATTTTTTTGCTATAGCTAGATCACATTATTTGTCACAACATACTGTATATATATGTATATATACGTAGATAAAAATTTTATACATATTAATAACTTTAATATTTAGCATATATTCTTTGTATACATGCTAATCAAAGTGAATTACTATTTGGGTAAGTTTACCAGGATAACTCCAAAAGTAGCATTGCATTATTAGTGCCACAGATGCTTTGTTATATCAATTTACATAATTAGTTATATATTATTCAAAAAAAATTATGTAAGATTGTGATGCTTTATTATATATTAAACTTTCAGGGCTATTTTATATAGTAACAGTAAGGTTATATATTTATATACAGTATTTAATAACTAACAATAGCTATGTATATACGTATTATTAACTGTTATTATCTATAAAGAATTTAATAACTGACTAATAAATACATAAACCTGAATCTTTTTTTTTTTAATTTGGCAGTTTTGCCTCTACTGTTTATTAGATTTACGCTAAGGTATTTTGGTTACAAATGTCATGAGTACAGTTACAACTATCTAGTATATACAGTATTAGCTCACTCGGTTACTAACTTGAGTATCTATGTGCAACCTGCTATATGAGATTTTACCTTCTTATCAACTGTTCCGCACTAGGCTGGTTTCAAACTCACTGGGTGGTTCCCAAACTCGAACCTATTTTTATCATATATATCCCACTTATATACTACTATACAATGTCCACTGACTAACTTCTACTCCTCATCACTTATCATATTACTCCTAATTTGAGTCTTGTATTACTTCCAAATTGGTGTCTTTTGAGTGGGTGCTCTTTATACTTCCAGTTTGATGTCTCTGGGGAGCTACTTTAAGGGCCTAGCCGTATCTCAACAGTTGCCTGTACCAAACTAGGATGTTATTTCATGTCGATCCAGGTATTCACATCGTACTCTACCAAATTAGGCTACTGATTCTTTTATAGTACTCCCAATTGGTATGGTGTTACAGAAATCTAGATTCTTAGGACGAGAGTTATGTATCTCATTTAATCACTGTCACAAGCTAGTGACTTGGGACCCACGATTCTACCATATTTCGTCATTGACTTCTATATAGGTTGTGTAACACATTACTCTCTGGCTATCTTTATTTTTGTACTACCAGATCACTTTCTTCTATGCTTTTCGGGAGTTCTTTTAGCTAGTTTTCCTTGTTTCTTTTGTACTAGAGGTGTTCTATATTTGGTAAAGCCATCCTCTTACCACAGCTCCTTACTATATTCACCACTTCTGAAAATACCACATACAGCTGTCCTTCTAATCAAGATCCCAATGCTGCCTTAGGGTTGTTGATGCTACATTGCCAATTGTGGATTCACATACACAGCCTTCTGTAGTAAACCTTCTATGACCCATGTCACACACAGTACCCAGACTTCTCTATGGCTCGGGGCTCCTTCCAAAATTTTTTTATAGGCCAAATATGTACATCACATGGTCTTACCGCCACAGGGTTCTGCATTCAAAAGCTTCCGAAGGTTAAAGAGTTAATTAATTAAATTAATTACCACCAGCTATAATTGAACTATTGACCTTGTCTGTAGAGGGTTAGACGCCTAGACCACTAGGCTACGAGACCCTAACCCCATAAATCTGAATCTAACATGTAAACTTTTTTTTTCTTTTTAATTAAAGTTATCTTTTATTTTTTATATATATTGATATGTTAAAAACAGGTTTGAACTAATTTAAGTAAATTGATATTAATTACATTATATAAATATTATAATATGTTTTAAAGTTTTTCAAATTATTATTCTTGGGAATTTTGGAGAAGGCTAAGAAAACCCATTGCATATAGTTTCTAAGAAACTCTTGTAGATTGGCTCAATTTCCTGCTGATTGACTGAGGAGCTAAAAGTTTCTTACCCAGCTAAGATAAAATCAAGTAGTTCCAGCTCTAGCTATTCCAGCATATAACAATCTATAAAATTCAGTTATAAAATTTCTAACTCTTAATTTATTTAAAATTTCATTACCTTTTCTATAACTTCAAACTAATTTGAGAAAAATTTTCAAAATGTTTTTCTTGCAAGGTATAATAATATAAACATTCACATAATTTTATAACTTGATATATCAAATAACAAATTAAATAGTAATAAAGTTTAAAGTGTAAAATTTTTTTTGAATGTAATCTAACCTGAATAAACTTGTAGTATCAAATAAGTGATTATTGGTACTAACCTTAAAAGCAAAATAATTAAACATTATAGTTATAGTTAAAAATAAAAAAAATAAAAAATAGTAAATCTGAAATAGAAGTTTCTTAGACAAGCCTGTGTTATGCATAAAGACATATGCTAAATTCTAAAGTAGCTTCTAATTTGTATAAAAAAAATTAAATAATAATTAATCAGTTATTATTTAAAAATTAAATAACAGAATCGCTATAAAAAAAATCACTTAAAGGTTAGCATTAGTGTGAAATAAATTATTTTTTGATTTATATCTTATTTTGCTTAAGTTTTATATAAAATTATAATTTTTTTAAAATTCTATACTTATCTTTCTTTAATATGCATTCTGAACAAAAACAACATCACACAGCTATTAGTAATAATCTTAAATATGAGATTTGTGAATAGTCAGAGGCAAATAAAATAAAAAACACTATGAAGTAGCTAGCTATTTTAATAAAAAATATTCTAATCTATCAATTGATCGAACCTCAATTACAAAATTTTAAAACAACGAGAAAAATGAAAGGCAGTAACTAGTGATGAAGTTTTATGTAAAACATTTAGGTATATATTTTATAGTTTTTAGTAGTTTAAGCTTATAAAATTAAATTTTCTAATATGGTATCAATTATAAATTTAGACATAAAGAAGTTAAATTTTTATTATTAGATTGGGCTATGAAGCTATGGGTAGAAAACATGGTAGCAAGAGGCGTTATTTTAACTGGTTTACTAATTAAAGAAAAAGCTAAAATTTTTGCTTCTGCATTAAATGTGCTTGAAAGTGAATTAGTTTTTTCTAATGGTTGGTTAGGAAGATTTAAAAAACATAATAGTATTCAAAAGCATAATATACATGGAGAATCAGAAAGTACACCTTTGGAATTACTTCCAGAAGAAAGAGTCAAATTGCGTAAACTTCTAAGTCAGTATACTCTTGATCAAATTTATGATATTGATGAAACAGAACTATTTTATAGAATGCAACCAAATCAAACACTTTCTTCAAAACCTGTTCTTGGCCAAAAAAAAAATAAAACTAGAATAACTGTTCTACTTGGAGTGAATGTAACAGGAACTGATAAACTAATATCATAGGTAATTGGTAAATCTGCACGTCCAAGACCTTTTAAAAGAATTGACTTAAACCGTCTTCCAGTTTATCATTGCTCAAACCCTAAGGCTTGGATGAATTCATTAATTTTTGAAGAGGTGCTTCAACATTTAGATAATAAATTTAGAGCACAAAATAAAAAAATCCTACTTTTAGTTAATGGTGCTTCATTACATTTTGATCCACATGATGCTGTTTCAGATGAACTTGAACATAATAATATTGATAACGATATTGATAATATTGAGAATAATATTGATAATATTGATAATAATAATAATATTGATAATATTGATAATATCGATAATATTGATAATATTGATAATATTGATGATATTGATAATAGTATCAATAGTGGAGAAAGCTCTACTTCAGTTAGATTATGTGAAAGTTTTCGCAAAAGTCTTACCAAAATGCCAAAAACTAATGGTAATGTTATAGTTTTTTATAATTGCAAAATTCTAAAATCTTTTTTAATATAAATAGATACTAATCATAAAAATAAAAATAAAAAAAAAATGCAAATCAATTCAGCTCAATTTAACTTATATTAAAGTAATTTTTTTACCTCCTCTTATTACGAGCCACCTGCAACCCATGGATGTGGGAATAATTACAAGTTTTAAGTCTTATTGTAAAAGAAATTATTGTCAACATATTTTAAATCTCAATTAAAACGGTGAAGACATAAATAAGAAAAAGCTCAATATTAAAGAAGCAATTGACTATTTAGTCGATGCATAGAAGAATATAACTCAAGTGACTATCCATAATTGTTGGAGAAAACCAGATATCTTACCTACTTCTATTGAAGATGAAAGAGTTAATGCTATTCAACTTCAACAAGATACTCTATCTTATGAAAGAGAAGAAGCTAATCAAATAATTGAAGATTTAAATATATCATACGAAGATAGCTCTTATGCTACTTCAGTAGCAAATGCATTAAATGAATATTTTTATGATTTAGAAAAAAATATTCCAATTGAAGAGATTTTGAATGAAATGGATATCATAAATTTGATTAATATGGAGATATGTAGTAAAGATAATGAATTAAATAATCCTGATAATTCTGAAGAAGAGCCAGTATTAAATGATGCAGACAAATCATTAACTAATTGGATAATGTTTTTCAAACAACAAGATTCAGATGAATTTACAACCGAAGATTTGCATATTTTTAAAAAGTATTAATTCGAAAATTTGCAACATATTTTTTTCTAAAGGTATTTTTTTATTTTATATTAAATTTGTAATTCTTTAGCATTATAAAAAAAAAAAAATACTAATTCTAATTACTATTTTAAACTAAAGTAATTCTATTTGTCAATTTTATACTCTCACAAACTGGGTAGGTATTATATATGCAAATCCACTGCGTATCTAAATAAGATAACTACATATATATAGTTTTTTTATTATTATTTGATTATAGCAAAAGACAATTGCTACATTATAATATACCTTTTATTTCATTTGATCATTATAATGAAATTAGTGAATCATATATATATAGGGAACTGCTATTCGCACCATGGATTTTTGCTATTCGCACCATGGTTTATGCAGATCATTTCGATTTTATCACAAAATTATTTTAAATACTTTAAACTTTGATCGAAGTTATCTTGGCAA